CTATCTCAAATGGAAAGTTGACCTAAACAACAATTGTAGATCTTGATGAGTTGAACAAACTTGGTATTCAAAACTTTTCAATTTAAAGTCATTTAGAGTTCATAATACTAGAGTCAAAGTGTTGTTTTTTCATTTGACCAAATTTGACTTGGTCAAACTTGCTCAAATGAGACACTAAATGACCTCAGATGAAAAAACTCTGAATACCAAGTTTGATCATCTCAGCAAGATCTACAATTGTTACATATCTCATTTTCTCATTTGAGAAAGTTTTATCAAACACTAGTCATAAATTCTTGAATCTCATATAGACTTTCTGAAACTATGTCACACACTTGTGAAATTTGAACTATATTTTGTTCAAACTTTTTCAAATGAAAAAATGGCCTACATAAGGATTGTATATCTTGATGAGATGAACAAATTTGGTATTCAAAACTTTTCAATTTGAGACAATCTAGGGTTCCGAAAACTAGTTTGTAAACGTTGAAATTTAAAAATCACAAATTTGAACCGTCCAAACTATCTCAAATGGAAAGTTGACCAAAACAAAAATTGTAGATCTTGATGAGTTGAACAAACTTGGTATTCAAAACTTTTCAATTTGAAGTCATTTAGAGTTCATAATACTAGAGTCAAAGTGTTGTTTTTTCATTTGACCAAATTTGACTTGGTCAAACTTGCTCAAATGAGACACTAAATGACCTCAGATGAAAAAACTCTGAATACCAAGTTTGATCATCTTAGCAAGATATACAATTGTTACATAGCTCATTTTCCCATTTGAGAAAGTTTTATCAAACACTAGTCACAAATTCTTGAATCTCATATAGACTTTCTGAAACTATGTCACACACTTGTGAAATTTGAACTACATTTTGTTCAAACTTTCTCAAATGAAAAAATAGCCTATATAAGGATTGTAGATCTTGATGAGCTGAACAAACTTGGTATTCAAAACTTTTCAATTTGAGACAATCTAGGGTTTCGAAAACTAGTTTGTAAGCATCGAAATTTAAAAATCACAAATTTGAACCGTCCAAACTATCTTAAATGGAAAGTTGACCAAAACAAGAATTGTAGATCTTGATGAGTTGAACAAACTTGGTATTCAAAACTTTTTAATTTGAAGTCATTTAGAGTTCATAATACTAGAGTCAAAGTGTTGTTTTTTCATTTGACCAAATTTGACTTGGTCAAACTTGCTCAAATGAGACACTAAATGACCTCAGATGAAAAAACTCTGAATACCAAGTTTGATCATCTCAGCAAGATATACAATTGTTACATAGCTCATTTTCCCATTTGAGAAAGTTTTATCAAACACTAGTCACAAATTCTTAAATCTCATACAGACTTTCTAAAACTATGTCACACACTTGTGAAATTTGAACTACATTTTATTCAAACTTTCTCAAAATGAAAAAAATGGCCTATATAAGGATTGTAGATCTTGAATCCATGACCATGACTCCATGAGACCCATGAAGCAATGTGCTTGGCTATTTCTACTCATGCCGCGAAGATTGGTGCTTATATGATGTTTGATGTATCTGTATCTTTATCTTATTTGTTGCTTTACTCTTTAGTCTTTCGGCTTAATCTAGATGGATTATGGACTCATAGAGTGGTGTAATGGTTTGCGCACGTATGATATATATATATATATATGCTGCTTTTACTCAATATCCGAATAGATATTTGTATCCGACCTTCTCCGAATCCGATTCATACCGTATTCGATACTCATTATTCGTATCCGTAACCGAGTCAATCCGTATTTGTATATGTATCCGAACGCTATCCGTGTCCGAATCCGAATCCGAACAGAAATATGAAAACAAATATAATATGAGTGATATCCGTTCGTATCCAATCCGTTTTCATCCCTACTTGTTAGAGAGCGTAGATCCATAGAGAAGACAATATAAAATTTATTACAAGTACAGCAGGACTGGTACTAAAAGAATAGGAAAAAGGAACAGATTATATTAGAGTTTACTTTACTAAGTAAGTACTAAATTACGAGCGTACTAGTAGTAATCTTTTACAAGCTACTTCCACTAGTAGGTAGTAGCAGTACGATAAAAATGGTCATAGACCTCTCAGGTCTGCACATGCACCTGACTGACGTAGGGCGGCTGGATAGGACAAACTAGGTGGACGTCATGACCGTCTCATGTGTCCATCTGTACACAGTCGTTACTTATCAGCTAAACTTTGTTAGCCTTCTGTGTTATAGAGATATATATCTACAAATCATGACTATTCAAATACAGAACACCAATAATTTGTGCTTTGATGTCATAACGACAATATTGAAAACTACAAGAAAGACAGTTTGTCTGGTCTAATTGTTTCATCACTATATTTACTATAATACAATATTGGATCAATCATCACATCCTAGTCAACTTAATTTCTGCAATAGAGTTTTACAAAAAAATATGTAAGAAGGAAAGAAGCTAAGTGACCAAAATTATGGCAAATAAAGGAATGGAGTGTATATAATATTAGACATTGGACTAGAACTAGATAATTGTTTCCCATGTTATCACTTCTAGCACCTAAATGTATATACTTTCTAATAAGATGGTTGTTTGCCAGTTGTGTACACATATCTGGATCAGGGAAGAACAACAAAAGACATCATATTTTCTGTGGTCAAAACTAGCTTATTTTTCTAATAAGTTGGTAAAGTAGCGCTAGATTCGCGGAAAGAGTTCCTTGCTTCCAGAGATGCATAGTAATGTGAGCATGCATGATACTAATGGAGTATATACATTGAACCTGCCGGCACCATAATATATACATACCCTTTTTTATGACAACATATTAGTATTGTAAATTATCTGTTCGGTGCTCAATCAGGTGTGTAGTTGCTAGGTAGCTGCAAACACTGCTAGTTGGGTTTCTTAGGTCAGTGCAAATCTATAGCTAGCTAGGTTTTCGTAACTTGACATTTTTTTCTTAACATGAGAATACCTATAACTAGGTACTATTCTTGGAAGTATATTGAATCACTCTTTATTTGAAAATTTTCTGATATGGTATATTCAAAATGAGCTCATAGAAAGAAAGAGAAATAGACCATGAATGATTACTTTTGACTTTTTTCTTATCAAATTTATGGAATGTGTAGTTTTTCTATTCTCTTTTGTATATGGTGACAAAATTAAATCTGATGCTGTAATTTTATATATGCATGAGGAGAGGGAGCTCATGCAGACCCAATTGTTTACCTCACTTGGATTGGATTTCACCTCTGCCTGTGCGTGAGATCCATTACCACTGCCTCCTTGGCTTGCTCGCGAGAGCCGCTCTTGCATCCTACTTGACGCATGCATGAGTTCCAACACCTCCTCCTCACGAGATCCACCACCGCCACCTCCTCATGAGATCTGACACTTTGGCCTTCTCACGAGATTTGTCACCACCTTGTCCTTGGCTCATACGCGAGTTTCACCGCCGACACCTCCTTAGCGCGTGCTGCTGTGGAGTTGGGAGTCTGTCCGACAGGGATTCGTCGCTAGCTCCTTATAGGAGTAATTGGGAGAGGTGGTGCCAACCGTTGAGCTAGGGGGATAGGCACTGGCTTTGGAACTAGGGAGAGGGAGCGCCAGTTAACAAGCCAGAGGACGGGGCTTGGTGATATGGAGTGTAGCAAGGAAGGGAGTGCGGTTGCTTGAGAGAGAGAGAGAGAGATCTAGAGATCTAGAGAGAGAGAGAGAGAGAGAGAGAGAGAGAGTTGTGTGGTAGGGAGGGGAGTGTGCGAGACTCGTGGTAGGTGCTAGAGTTAGTGTTACATATGGGTCGGGCTAGATTTTCACATATAGGGGTTAGATATGGACCGCCTTTGTAAATGAAATGTCATTCTCCAAAAAGGATCTGCATTTTCAGCGATGACCATACAAATGTGCCACCTCTGTTAATGAAAGTAGGAGTCTCCAAAAGTCGATTTTGTAGTATTATTATTAATTAAAGCTTAAGAAGAGACCGGCAATAACATCGATGTGTCCTATTGGTCAGGTTTCTAGGAAGAACAAGGTGACCGATCCATGACTAGAACAAGCAAAATTAGGATGGTTAAGACGATTACAAAACAATAGAACTTTATAACAATTTCTAACGGATGTACAAAATATATTAATAGTAGTACTAATTTTTCTCTCACTCCCTGCCTCACCCATATGTAGTTCAAAATAACATTAGATTCAAGTAGAACTCCACATTTGTATTGCCTATTGTGATTTTATACTAAACACATAACATTATTAGGTGATAGAGAGGTAAGAATTGATTTGTCATAGATTATTGAAGGGGTACTGCATCCCTAAACATGCACACTTGAAAATAATTAGTAGTCATGCGCAATTCTCTAACAGTTTACAACCTTTCGATGTATATCAAACGCAGCAGAGAAAAACGAAAAATGTATCCGTTATGGCAACCATAGTTGAAACAGCAACACTAATGAAAACATCTAAGCCAAATTGCATAAATTGCAGGAATGACCTTAAACATGGCAATGCATAGGTGGTAAATCTGAACCAACTGATAAATTGCAACCAAAGGTGATGCTTCATTTCGATTGATCGGTTCATCGTCATGGAATCTAGCAAAAATCACCTACAAGATTATTACCACTTCTCAATTTGCTGCTAGCTAGCTAGGCATGTGCGCTACAAGATTATCTAAGCCTAGCTTGGAAGTCTTTATTTTGGCCCAAGTTAGAGAATGAAACAGAACAAATCAATTTATTAGCACGATAGGGTTGAATTGAACCTAGCAACAAAATTCTAGCAAAGGGCATGCTCATGAGTAGTGATAAATGTGTATACCACTATACAAAGCATGAGTGCATGACACGTGCGCGCGCGCGCGTGTGTTTGTCCTTGTAATCGCGCACAACCGCAGAACAGAACATCTACTTGAGCACACGATAATTCATGCATGTGTCAATGATGGATGACACAGATGATTTGCTCGGTGAATTTTCCTCATTGATCTGACAGGGCGAGCAGCTGCTCCAAGTAATCCGCCCCAAGGTCCTCCAGCTCCATCACGCAAGAATCTGCCTGCTTTTGCATGACATGCCCATGTCCATGGCAGCTCGTCACCACCTTCGTCTGTTCCTTGCCAGCCGCCTTCTTGTTCTTGGGCAAGCGCTTACGGATGCAGTGGCGCCGCTTCAGCGCCAGCACTGGGGAGTCCCCCGCGGCGCCGCTGAGCCCCAGCGCTTGCAGCGATTCCTGCACGTGCTCGACGGGGAAGTTGAGCACCGCGGCGGGGCCGCGCATGGAGTAGGCCGCCTGGTCGTAGGCGAGTGCGGCGGCCTCGGGGGTGTCGAAGGTGCCGATCCACACGCGCTTGCCATTGCGCGTGGAGTCCCTGATCTCGGCCGCGAACTTGCCCCACGGCCGCTTCCGTACCCCGATCAGCGGCGCTCCAGCCGCCTCCTCCTGCAGGTAGCCGCCGCAGCTGGGGCTCGACTCCTGGACGACGGAGACGGCGGCCGGTTGCACCGTTGCTGCCGGCAGGGAATATGCCGCTGGCGTGCTCGTCGTCGAAGCACTGCTGGAGATGCCGAAGGCCGCCCCCATGGGAGCGCTGAACTGATCCATGTCCACCTGCTGGCCCGTGCCATCCTCCTGGTAGCTGTAGTATTCATATTCATCAACGCCGCCGCTGCCGCCAAAATGCAGCTGCTGCGGCTGTTGTTGGTGGTGGTGGGAGGTTGTGGTACCCGACGACGATGACGACGCCCACGTCGTCGACGATGAACAAGGGTAGTGGTCACCACTGTAAGCGATAGCAGCATCGTCGTAGTACGCGGCCGAGGAGGGCTGGAAGAAGCCGGAAGAGGCCATAGTGCTGGTAGAGTAGTAGGGGCTGTCGTCGTAGCCTTGCAGGGCGCCGTAGTGGTGGCTATCACAATGCACGTAGGCGGCGGAGACGGCGCCGGCATCATGGCTGTAGTAGTAGCTGCTGCTGAATTGGGGTTCCATGGATGGATGCACTTGATCACTCCACAATTTGTTCGAATTTGTGGCCAATCGATGCGTAGAGCTAGCTAGCTAGCTGGCTAGAGTAGTATGGTATGGTCCAAGTTAACGAACGAGCTAAAAGTAGCTAGCTAGGCTTGTGTTTACAATTAAGCTCGCGGTCTAGGTGCTTATATATACAGTTCTCGTACTAATGACATGCTTTAAAAAGTAGCTAGCTCGATAGGACAAGTAACTAATGACAGCCCTAATTTGATGGAAGACTTTGTTCGATAGTCGAGTCCATCGAATAAGATGCTACCTTGGCAGGGGGACAACCGCAGCTATACTACTCTCCACTTGCATTGGTCTAATATTTCTTTCTAGTGCAGTACATGAGATATTTTCAGAAGAGGATTATTGCTCGTTACTAGCTAATTAACAAATGTGTGGAGCGAGATATTGGACGATGGCTGCGTACGGAGCGAGGGAAGAAGCACCGCAGAATTGTCATGGATGCTTCCATTGCATGGCTACTGTTCATAGGAAGGAACAAGGGCCCCTGCAGGCATGTAGCTAGGGTACGGTAGGCTGCATCCTGCATATGGCAACAGATGCAGCTTATGGTATCAGATTCATCTCATCAACACATCATGCGGAATAGTAGTCAATGTTCTACTGCTACCTTGTGTGAACACGCAGCAAGGGAAGGCGGTGTCGAAAAGCCCCCCTGTTGTGATACTGTAGCCGCTGCAGGTGCAGGCGCCGCACAACTCACCTGCAGCACTATAGCCACATGCAGAGGCCGGCGCCAGAATCAGCCCTATTGTGTTATCTAGTTCCTGTAGCAGCATGATAGCTGCTCTAGACTAGATGGATAGAGTTGTATATATAGTTTGCCACTGCAACTCAACAAAGAGAGTTCAGTTTTGCCATCTCATATACAGGGCTCCAGCCAACGCTGGTGTCTCAATCGTGTGTGTATACTCTGTTCTCCCTTCTTCCTCTACCTCTAGCCACAGTGTGTGTGGACACACAACGCTTCTTCGTGGTCGGCACAGCTAGTGGGTGCTCGGCAACACTAGCGGGTGCTCGGCAAGACCGGTGAGTGGTCGACTCACCTAAGCCGGTGATCCTGTGTGGTGCGACACCACACCGCGCCGTACTCGCCACAACAGAATGGCGTGGTGGAGCGACGGAACCAGACGGTGATCGGCATGGCTCTATCCATGATGAAGGCCAAGGTAATGCCGGCAAGATTCTGGGGAGAGGCGGTGACCACTGCGGTGTTCATCCTCAACCGCGCTCCCACCAAGACCCTGATGGGCAAGATGCTGTTCGAGGCTTGGTATGGGCGGAAGCCGAGCGTGTCCTTCCTTCGGACATTCGGCTGCATCGGCCATGTCAGGAAGACGAAGCCGAACCTCACCAAGCTGGAGGACAGGAGCATACAGATGGTGTTCCCACTAGTAGAAAACAGACCTTTCATCCGAGGCTAAAATGGGCTTTAGTCCCGGTATTTTTTGCGCCCGGGACTAGAGACCTTTAGTCCCGGTTGGTGTCTCCAACCGGGACTAAAGGTCCATGCCCAACTCTTATCACTCGGCCGCACGATGGCGGGGGACCTTTAGTCTCGGTTGGAGACACCAACCGGGACTAAAGGTGGACCTTTACTCCCGGTTGGAGCCACCAACCGGGACTAAAAGTCCTCAACCTTTAGTCCCGGTTGGTGTTACCAACCGGGACTAAAGATAGACCCTTTAGTCCCGGTTGGTAACACCAACCCGGACTAAAGGACCCTTTAGTCCCGGTTGGTGCCACCAACCGGGACTAAAGGTCCCCCGATGGGTTAGTTCAAAAGGGAAGCATCCCATCTATTGTCAGATGTGTTGTGTAGGTGGGGTGGTAAGCTACGCGCGAGGCAATGCATGAGGTCTTGGGTTCGAATCTCACGAGACGCAGCGGTGGGAGATATTATTTTTTTTTAAAGCTGGGAGGACCTTTAGTCCCGGTTGGTGTTACTCACCGGGACTAAAGGACCCCTAGTCCCGTTCTGACCGGGACTAAAGGACCCCCTTTAGTCCCGGATGCTTACTCCCGGGTGGGGAACCGGGACTAGAGGTGGTTCCCCACCGGGAGTAAAGCCCGTCTCTGTATTAGTGTCCTGGGCTACGCGGAGGGTACCAAGGCGTACCGGCTCTACGATCCACGCGGAGACAAGGTGCTTGTCTCGCGCGACGTCGTGTTCGACGAGAAGGCGACTTAGAACTGGAGCAATCCGAGCCTTTGGGGAAGCCGGCGGCTTCACCAGCACTTTCGTCGTCGAGCACTTGGTCATCCACGGTGGTGGAGACGCTGGGGAAGAGGTGCTGAGCACTCCAGAAGGAGTGCCGAGCACTCTAGCGATAGAGCCAAGCACTCTTGGGGCAGTGCCGAGCACTTTGGGAGGGATGCCGAGCACTCCGGGAGGAGTGCCGAGCACTCCTGGAGGGACGCCGAGCATGCTAGGAGTGGTGCCAGGAGGTTTTGCAGTGTCGGCGACCACTCTAGGGCCGGGTGCCGAGCACTCCCGCAGAGCCAAGAGGTCTTGCAATGGTGCCGACCACTCCAAGATCGAGGTGGAAACTCCTGATCGTCGTGCCGAGCAACCGCAGAGTTGAGACAAGCTGTCCGGGGAGTAGTGCCGAGCACTACATCCGGGGTGCCGAGCTCTCTAGATGCTATGCCGAGCACTCCGACGGAACAGGGAACTCCATCGGCGCCGATCGAGTTCTTCTCGCCTCAAGTGACATCACCGAGTTTCGTGGATGCCTACCACGAAGGTGAGGAGGTGCGATTTAAATGAGGCTAGACGACATCGCCGACGACCACGTGTCCCTCGGTCTAGCGGGTAGGTCGCTCAATGACGCAGCTGCTACTACTCGTTAGTGTAGAGGAACCACCCATGTTCGCGCTAGCCAAGCGTGATGAAATCGGCGACGAAGCGTCTTTGGAGGAGATGAAGGCGATCGAGGAAAACAAGACTTGGTAGCTCATCGATCCACCTCCGTGGATGCCGTCCGATCGACCTGAAGTGGGTGTACAAAGTCAAGCGGGACGAGCAAGGCACCATTGTCAAGCACAAAGCGCGCCTCGTGGCCCGAGGCTTTGTATGCGGTATGCGAGGGCATCGACTTCGAGGAAGTCTTTGCGCCGATAGCGCGCGCATGGAGTCTATCCGTTTGCTACTAGCTTTGGCGTTAGTAAAGGACCGCACGCCCATCACTTGGGCGTTAAATTGGCCTTCCTCAACGGCGAGCTGGCGAAAACGGTCTTCATTAGGAAACCTCCAGGTTTTGCCGTCAAGGGATAGGAGCACAGTGTGCTCCGACTGCGCAAGACGCTCTACGGGCTACGATAGGCTCCGCGAGCGCGGAACGCCAAGCTTGATGCCACGCTGGGCGAGCTTGGGTTCAAGAGGTGCGCAACCGAGCACGCGCTCTACACGCGGCGATGGGGGAAGGAAGAGCTCATCGTCGGCGTGTATGTGGACGATTTGATCGTCACCGGTGCACGTGCGGAGGAAATCAATAGCTTCAAGCGCGAGATGGCGGCTCATTTTCGAATGAGCGATCTCGGGGCGCTCACCTACTACCTCGGCATCGAGGTGAGACAGGGGAGGGAGGCACTCACGCTCGGTCGGAGCGCGTACACCTCGAAGCTGTTGGAGCGGAGCGGCATGGCTAAGTGCAAGCCATGCGTGACTCTAATGGAGGAGCGGCTGAAGCTGTCAAAGGCCAGCACCGCGACGAAGGTGGATGCAACACTCTACCAGAGTATCGTTGGCGGTCTGCGCTACCTAGTCCACACGAGGCCGGACATTGCGTTCGCCATGGGCTACGTCAGTCGCTTCATGGAGGATCCCAGAGAGAATCACTGGGCTACAGTGAAGCGGCTACTACGCTACATCAAGGGGATGGTGGATCATGGGATCGCCTTCCCCAAGACCGGCGGAAGTAGGCTACAACTCACTGTCTTCAGCGATGCAGACATGGAGGGGGACATCGACGGATGGTGGAGCACCTCTGGCATGCTCGTCTTCCTCGGGTCGGCCCCAATTTCATGGCTATCGCTGAAACAGAAGGTGGTGGCGCTATCTACGTGCGAGGCAGAGTACGTAGCGGCGGCCATAGAGGCGTGCCAAGTTGTGTGGCTGCGCCGGCTACTGGGTGAGCTGACCGGCGTGGAAGCTCACCCACCAGCACTGATGGTGGACAACCAGCCCACCATCGCCCTAGCGAAGAATCTAGTTCCGCACGACCGGCGCAAGCACATCGACGTGAAGTTCCACTTCCTCAGGGACTGTGTCGATGGAGGGCAGATCGTCATCGAGTTTGTCTAAACTGGTTGGCAACTCGCGGACGTCCTCACCAAGCCACTCGGATGTCTTTGACTCACGGAACTAAAGGAGATGATCGGCATGGAGTTGGTACAAGGGTTAGCAGTAGGATTAGGGGAAGATTGTTAGATAATCTACTGCTACATTGTGTGAACACGTAGCAAGGGAAGGCAACGCCGAAAAGGCCCCCTGCTGTGATACTGTAGCCGCTGCAGGTGCAGGCGCCGCACGGCTCACCTACAACACTATAGCCACATGCAGAGGCCGGTGCCAGAGTCAGCCCTGCTGTGTTATCTAGTTCCTATAGCAGCATGGCAGCTGTACTAGGACTAGATGGATAGAGTTGTATATATAGTTTGCCACTGCAACTCAACAAAGAGAGTTCAGTTTTGCCATCTCATATACAGGGCTCCAGCCAACGCTGGTGTCTCAACTGTGTGTGTATACTCTGTTCTCCCTTCTTCCTCTACCTCTAGCCATAGTGTGTGTGGACGCACAACGCTTCTTCATGGTCGGCACAGCTAGTGTGTGCTCGGCAACACTAGCGGGTGCTCGGCAAGACCGGTGAGTGGTCGACTCACCTGAGCCGGTGATCATAAGTGGTGCGACACCACACCGCGCCGTACTCGCCACAACAGAATGGCGT